GTTTTCCTCCCTTTCTAAGTGCTCCATATCACACTCTATTATATCATGATTTGCCCAAGTTGATCTATTTGTGGTGTTGGTAATGTCGACATAGACCCTTTATCCTTGTCCTCAGTTTTGTATGTTCCCAAATTTCCTTTTAATCTTATGTCTTTTAGTAAGATGACGAAGTCTCTTAATTGTTCTATTACCTTTTACCCTTTTTCTTGTGTTTTTCAGGATCTTAAGACGGGGATGAAGATTAGTGGAGGATATGAAGTTGGTGGATTGTATTATCTTGATGGTGGTGGTGGTTTGCCAATAGCTCTTCAGACATCTTTGTCTTCTCTTTAGTGGCACTATAGACTTGGTCATCCATCACTTAAAATACTTAATTCACTTGTCCCATTGTTTAGTCATCTTTCTGTTTTGGATTGTGAGTCGTGTCGGTTGGAGAGTCGTATGTTGAGTCCTAGGGTTGATAATCGTATGTCGAGTCCTTTTTGTTTAGTTCATTTAGATATTTGGGGTCCAAATAAAATAGTGTCATACAATGGTTACAAATACTTTGTTATTTTTGTTGATGATTATTCAAGGATGACATGACTTTATCTTATGAAAGAAAGGAGTGAATTGTTTTCCATTTTCCAAAAATTTTATGCTGAAGTCTACAACCAATTCAGTGTGCATATTAAGATTCTTCATTTTGATAATGGCAAGAATATTTTTATACATTGTTTCAGGAGTATTTGGATCAACATGGCATCATCCATCAGACTTCATGTACTTACACCCCATAGCAAAATGGGGTAGTTGAAAGAAAGAACTGCCATGTTTTGGAAACTGCTCGTTCCCTTTTGCACCATATGAATGTACCCAAACATTTTTGGAGTGATACTGTGCTTATATCTTGCTTCCTCATTAATCAGATGCTCATGCCCATCCTTGAAGGTCATTCTCCTTTCACAACTTTGTTCCCTACCTTGTCTTTTGTTTCCTCTTACTCCCTGGGTTCTTGGGTGTGTGTGTTTCGTCCATAATCTTGGACCTGGAATGGACAAATTAGGTGCACGATCCACTAAGTGTATATTGGCTATTCTCAGGCCCAGAAAGGGTATAAGTGCTATAACCCCAATTCTTGACGTTCCTTTGTGTATCCTGATGTCATATTCCACTTGTTCTAGTTGTGGCTAAGTCTTCGCCTCTAGTGCAGCTTCCTATTGAACGACCACCCATCCAACAAGTGTATAGACATCGGCTACATTTACCAACTCCTCCTCCAACTTCTTTGCCGTCGACAAATCTGATAGTTGTTCCCACACTAGCCCCACCCACTATTTTTGACCTTGATCTTCCTATTGCCTTGCAGAAAGGTAAACGTAGTTGCACACTTCATCCTATTTCAAAATATGTTTCTGTATCTCACATTTCTTCTTCCCATCGCCAGTTTGTTTTTATGTTATCTTCTTGTTCCTACAGATGTCTAGGAAGCCCTTGCCCCTCCAGGGTGATGCCATGCAATGGAAGAATTCTCAGTTTTGGCTCATAATCATATGTGGGATCTCACCATGCTCCCCCTGGTAAGCATGTTGTAGATTGTAAATGGATATGCATTGTTAAGTATTTACTTGATGGTAGTGTAGAGCGGTTGGAAGTTTGACTGGTTGCCAAAGGATATTCCCAAATGTATGGTATTGACTACATAGAGACATTCTCTCCTATTGTTAAAATTGGTTCAATTCGTGTTTTGATATCTCTAGCTGCTATGTACGGTTGACCCTTGTTTTAGCTTGACATCAAGAATGTCTTTTTACATGGTGATCTCCTTGAGGAGGCCTATATGGAGCAACCACCAGGGTTTGTTGCTCAAGGGGAGGATGGTGGTAAAGTGTGTAGACTAAAGAAGGCCATTTATTGACTTAAACAGTCTCCTCGTGTGTGGTTTGGTAGATTCAATGAAGTGATAAAGAAGTTTGGCATGAAACAATGTTAGGTTGATCACTTTTAAGCTATGACTCACATGCTGGGAAGATTTTATTGGTGGTATACGTAGATGACATTGTTATTATCGGTAGTGACAGGTTGATGATTGATAGGCTGAAGACCTTTTTGCAGGAGCACTTCCAAACAAAGGACTTTGGTAAATTAAAATATTTCTTGGAGATAGAAGTAGCAAGGTCTAAGCAAGGTATTAACCTATGTCGGAGGATGTATGTTCTTGATTTATTGGAGGAGACATGATTTTTAGGTGCCAAGCCGGGTGAAACACCTATGGAACCAAATACCAAACTAAGTAATGATGTGGGTGAGGAGTTCGGGGACCTTGGAAGGTACAAGAGGTTGGTGGGCAAGTTAAACTACCTAACCATTACTTGGCCAAATATTTTATTCGTAGTTAGTGTGGTGAGTCAGTTTATGCAAAATCCTTAGGTTCCACATAGGGATGCAGTTCTAAGGATTGTACGGTATTTGAAGGGAACTCTTGGTTGTGGCTTGTTATACAAAAATGGAGGAAATCTTGAAATAGAGGGATACACCGATGCTGATTGGGCTGGTTCTATATTTGACAAAAGGTCCACTATAGATTGTTGTACCTTTCTCGGGGGTAATTTGGTGACATGGAAGAGTAAGAAGCAGACAATGGTGGCAAGAAGCAGTGTAGAAGTTGAATATAGAGCCATGACACATACAACTTGTGAACTAGTGTGGTTGAGAAATCTTCTACAGGAGATGGGGTACTCGATTGACACTCCTATGAAGTTTTACTGTGACAAGCAAGCTACAATGCACATCTCTTCTAATCCAGTTTTCATGACAGAGCAAAACATATAGAAGTTGGCTATCATTTTGTGAGAGAGAAGGTGCTTAGTGGAGTGATAGATATTGCATATGTTAACATAAGAAGTCAATGGACAGACTTGTTCACCATTGAGTTGGGGAAGAGTGGACTACATATTCAACAAGGTAGGATTATATGATATATCTCAACAGCTTGAGGGGGAGTGTTAGTGTCAAATGTATAGGGGTAGTTTGGTCTTTTTATTTATGTTTTGTGTGAGGTGTAGTGTTTAAGTTAAGTGATGTGTCCGATACTTGAGAAGGGGCATAACAAACATTTTGTTTTATTGTAGAAAACTATAAATATAACTTGGCCAACTAGAGAGGATGGACTTTTCTCTTGTTTGAACCAATTTCTTCTCCTCTCACTTCTCTTCTTCTTCTCTCTTTTATCTAATCTTCTACTACTATTTCTAACTGAGTACTAGTGCAGATATGAACTTTATCAAAACTGCTTGGCGATTAGGTGAGGCAAGCCTCCAAGGGCACCTTGTCGCCTAGGTGTTTCCTTGACAACTATGATTGAGAGAACTAAAGCTCTAGAAATCCTATAGAAAAATATGGACAAGGTTTAAAATGTCGATGTCGATGGAAATGTCGCTTACCAAAATATAGGACATATGTCGGAAATGTTGAGGGGAAATATTGTAAAAATTAGAGACA